TGGAAACGTCAGCTCAACTCATATCATTTTGGGAAAATTCTTCTTCTACCAGTCCTTCATCACCTTACACAAAATTGTGTGAATACATCCCATATAAGAAGATTCACCAGACTCACGAATGAGTGTATGTGTGTTTGTGCATGAAATGTTATGCTGTGTGGTCGGCAATCTCACATACCAAGCCGTTCTCGTAGTAACTCGTCAGGTAGAACTCGCACAGGCAGTAGAACGTCCAGAATGCCTCTTCTTCCGGCATGTGGATGAGGAGTGCAGCGGCAATCGGCGCTTGGGCCTGGCAATAGCCGACCTGCGGCACCAGGAGCGAATACGCTTTGAGCAGGTTGAACAGAGCCTGCTGTCTGAGACGGGAATGTCGGACGAACGGATGGAACGGATTAAGGAATAATTGGGTGGTGAAATGGCAAATAAGTGAATGGATAAGTGGACAAATTGAAATTTGTATTGACAAGCAAGAAAACATAATGGCACGCATAGAGGCACAATCAGAATGTGTATATGCACACAGAAATAGATCAAAATTCACACTGTTTTACTTTTCAGTTTGTGTGAAAACCGGAGGAAGATCACCTCGTTGACGTGACTGTAGATTTGTGCTCTGATCAATCCATGCGCACAACACCACCGAGCCAAGACTGTTGGCCAAAACATGCGAAATTAATGAGGCGTCTGGAGATTTTGCTGGTTATGATAAGGTATAAAGTGACCTGTTTCGTTCAGGTCGTACCTTAATCATGTGTGTGTGTGCTTGTGTTCTTGTGTGCCTATGAACATTTGTGTGTATGTATGTGAAAAGTGCGTAACATGGGTCCTCGGTCTTCAAGGTTTCATGACCCCGAACACCATCCATTTTTCTATTTTGACCCTCACTCGGATTGCGTAATGTGGTTGACATCAACAAAAATGTTCCGGTAAAGTCAATCAGCAGGTGCCCAAGAGGAATCCGCCGCTAGTCGTCTTTTGATGGGACACATATTCAGACAATTCCACTCGAAATGGAACTAAAATATACCTTTTTAAGCCAAGGAGATCTTATAAAACCGACTTTTTTTGCATAGTTTTGTTAACTTTATATAATAATGCCGGCCAACTGGCAGGATGGATGAAATATAATGGGGTACCTTCAATTTGGCTTGAAAAGGAGGATGAAAAGGATTCGTAAACTACGCAAACATAGGACTTTCATGCCAAATAAAAGTTCTAATAATAATGTTATCTCAAGAGATTCATCGAAGCCCAGTTACTCTTCATATCTACAAGGAAGTATCGTCTCAGGTTTCGGGCTTCATCTTTCTGCAGACCCAATGAATTCCTGACAGATTTCGTTTATAAAAGATCCAAAATGATACTTTAACAAATAAAAATCAATGTTTACTTTTGTTACATCACATACGTAAACACGTCTCGACAGCCTTGAACACAGAGATCACCTGACTGGATGACTAATCTTCACTCTTAATTTCGTCCCGACCATAGAGAGCTTGGCACCGCATCGTCCAATCAGAAGTTGACACCGAGAAATGCAAAAAGGTCTACCAAATAGTTGCAGTCAGTTTAGATTGGTCCCGCTATCTTTCTTCCCCTCTTCCCTTCTGTTGTCGCCAGCGCAGTTTGGGTTTTTCTATTTCGCGCAGTCCTTCTCAATAGGACATTTGATGATACGATTTTTCCTTTTTCTCTTCTTGTCCTGGCATCCAACATTGTAGTGGTAGAGCACAAGCGTTTTCCATTCTAGACACAGTCCACATCTCTTCGCAACATAAAGCTTTCCTATTGACTACACAACGAAAGAAGACTGCCCCCAAAACAGAGGCCCCTCATCTTGGTCTTCGTGTCTGAAGTTAAACCTTTCTGCGTTGCTGAGTGGCTTTTCGACACTACCAATATGTCAAATATATGAGCTGTGTTCAGCCTATTTCGTTTATGGTGATGCAGGATTGGTAGGTGACTTTTCCCACAATGGTATGGGCAGAGCTGACGATTCCATTGTGTTTCACATTGTTTTGATTTGCCAAAAGATGATCTGGGCGTTATCAACCATCCGGCGGGAGTCGAACCATGACAGTGAAAATGAAAAGGGTAATGTCGTCGATTGCTATAGCAAATATAAATTGGCTTAATCGACAATCCCACGACAGAGTATGATATGTGAAAAATGCCTGACCTTCCTTGAAATTCACATCTGCCCTGTGGTCCAAGGGCACTTGTGGCAATGTGGGGCTAGTTGTCAACGTGTTGAGATCACACGGGGCAGTGTCATGGTTCGACTCCCGCTGGGGGTGTTGATGAAACCTAGGCGAGATCGCAAAGGTGGCCCGTTTCAGCCTAAATGAGATCACCTTTGGGGAAGGCAAGGTTTTGGGAAATTCAATGGAAAAGTCAGCTCTACACATACCGTTGTGGGAATTTTCAACTACCAATTCTTCTTCTCCTCAAATGAGATAGGATGAAACATCATGCATAGACCTTTCTTGGATTCGTGTATGAGTAGATTTTTTGTAACTGGTCTTTTCTGGCGTTGACGATGTCTGCCACGACGGCACAGACGAAAGATCAGCACAGATTGATTTGGGTCGCAGGAGAGTGATCCGAACGATTTCTTCGCACAATCCACTCGTCACGACCACAAGAAGACAATTGCTCGGTTTTCGTGACGGCCAATTTACGCATCGTTTCCATCTGCTTTTTCAAACCGAGTAAAAGGTACGACAGCCTCTTTCATCCGTCCTGTCATTCGGTCAACATCATCACCACAAGGAGGCATTCTTGTATTAAGTTATGACATGAGATGTATTCACCCTAGTTCGTTTAAGGTGATGGAGGACTAGAGGAAGAAGAATTTTTCCACAATGACATGAGTTAAGTTGACGTTTCCATTCAATTTCACATATTTTTTGGATTAAGTATTGTTCTCGTGACTACCAGCAAATCAGTAGTATCAAATGTATTCACCCAATTTCGTTTAAGGTAATGAGGGACTGGTAGTAGAATTTTCCTACAATGATATTAGTTGAGCTGACGTTTCCCTTCAATTTCACATAGTCTTGCTTTTACAAAAGTTTTTCTTATCCCGACACCACTGGACTGCAGTTTCGACCTCGCATCGGTCTTATAAACACCCTTAGCGGGATTCGAAACGCGACTCAACTCATGTCATTGTGGGAAAATTCTTCTTCTACCAGTCGTTCTTCACCTTAAACGAAATTGGGTGAATACGTCTCATACTACTTATTTATTGGTAGTCACGAGAAGAATACTTAATTCGAAAAATATGTGAAATTTAATGGAAACGTAAACTCAACTCGTGTCATTGTGGGAAAATTCTTCTTCTACCAGTGCTTCATCACCTTACACGAAATTGGGTAAAAACATCTCATACTACTGATTTATTGGTAGTCACGAAAACAATACTTAATTCGAAAAATATGTGAAATTGAATAGAAACGTCAACTCAACTCGTGTCATTGTGGGAAAATTCTTCTTCTACCAGTGCTTCATCACCTTACACGAAATTGGGTAAAAACATCTCATACTACTGATTTATTGGTAGTCACGAAAACAATACTTAATTCGAAAAATATGTGAAATTGAATAGAAACGTCAACTCAACTCGTGTCATTGTGGGAAAATTCTCCTTCTACCAGTCGTTCTTCACCTTAAACGAAATTGGGTGAATACGTCTCATACTACTTATTTATTGGTACTCACGAAAACAATATTTTATTCGAAAAATAAGTTAGAACAAACGAGCAAAGGAGGTTGGCTTTCGAAGAATTGCTTGGTTAAGCTGCATTTCGACTGATCACACCATGAGACGACAAGCAGCTGATTCCTCTTGGCCAACTGTTGATTAGCTTTAACGGAACCTTCTTGTTGGCGTCAGACATGCGTTTAATA